TTTTTTTTTATAAAAAAAAAATGCTAAATCTAAATCAAATGTTAATAAGATAAGTATTATAAAATTTTAATTATCCAGAACTTAAAGATAATTTTGATTCAAATAAGGAATTTAAATAAGTTTTTATCTTCCAAAAAATAAATAAATAAATAAACATGCTAATTAGAATAATATTTGAAAACACTTAAATCTTGCATTAAGAAATGAGTAATTAAATGTTTAAATATTCAATTCAGAATTATGTGTTTAATAAAAGTTACTAACTTATTCTATTTTGCAATATATGTAGATATATATATATATATATATATATATATATATAAGCATAAAGACCAAAATACCTACATGATATTCTTATAATAACATAAAATAAAAAGGTAATTATAGAGTTAAGAATTATCCAATTTTTGTCACAAAAAAAAATAATTAATTAAAAGAAGGTTAATTAATATTAATTGGAATAGAAAGCATATTAATTAGATGAAAATCGTAAAAGCAGACACAAAAAAAAAATGAGATTTAAAACCTCCAACACTTACATTATTTAACTGAAAAGCAAGCTGTACAATAAAGATAAAACAGAAGCAAATTGAAGTACTCAGAATACAAAGTTGCCTAAACCAACTTGGCTTCTATTTTTCCATTCTAACAACTATTAAACTTATTCACATATTCATAACCATAGAAAAACAAAACAAATTATAGAATTCTCAGCCAACTTCTACTTTGTACCTGCAAAAACTGCTGGTCCTTCCACCTGAATTTCATAAACCCCGTCAAATTTTGATAATTAATGCCACAAATACTATATAATTGCAGCAAATTATATCATAATCTAATGTATAATCTGGAAGGTGATCACTCCAGCTTGGATTCGAGAAAGTTTGTTTCACTCCCTTCAATGGTTATAATACTGTCCGGACTAGTATGATAGAGAACTAGACTAGTATTTTCACCCATCTACAACATATAAATATATATATATGTATTATGCAACCTTAGAACAGGATATATATATATTGATTAGTTACCTTAAATGTAGCACCCCAGATCTCTTCTTCTTTAGCGGGAACTGCAGTGATCTTGTTCTTAGGATTCTCATAGCTTCTCAATTCTCCAACTGCTGTAGAAAAGAAACAACCTGCAATGGTGGAGAGATATTGTCAATTTCAAAATGGTTAATTTGAAAGAAGGAAAGAGTGGAAGTTATGGGAGCGGGTAGGTGAGAAATTACCTTGAGGGAAAGATGCAAGAGACTTGCCACAAGCACCTCTGAGCAACTCAGAATCATTAGCGAAGGCAACATATCCATCGGCAGTGATTCCCCAATACAGAGGAACCTTACCAAATTGATCCTGTCACAATTACACGAAAATACCACGTTTGGATGTTAATTTCATGGAATCGAAATTGGAATAAGAATATAATTCAAGTACCAGATGGTGACTTACAGAAGCCACAAACAAAGTGGAGATGGATTTGTCAAAAACAATGAAAGCAAAGCTTCCATTGAGGTGTCCTACAACATGGTTGGGAGGGTAAGGTGCCCGATCACGGAGAGCCTTGTAGGCTTCAATCACTAAAACAACCTCATTTGCAGACTTAGCCAGCCCATACTGCTGTCTCAGACTCCCCAAATTGTCCAGAGCTCCCTCAAACAAGCAGAATATCTCATCCTTAACCGCAAATGATCTGCCATTAACCAATGACAATAACACACATCAGACAAACTATTCCAAGCATGAATTTTTCAGTCATTATATGTGTGATTGTTTTTATCATATTGGTTGATCTCGGGTTCCGAATCAATTCATGGATCCCCATCCAAGATTTCATTATTCTTATCCTAATTTACTTTGTTCCCTTCTCAACTCGACAACTGCAAAAAAGTTGATTGAGAAATCCACTAAAGGGTTATCATCATCAAGGTTTGCTTTACTAAAAGTAAATACAATCACAGCAAAACATGTATATTCATAAAATATATATATATATATATATTTATTTATATGTGTTGAAGAAAAAAGGAAAAAGAAAAGAAAATATCCCGACGCTTCGATTCTGATATTGTTGAAAATTAACAAACTAAAGGATTTTTATTTCAATAATTATGTCCTTCTTATTGCAAAACTAATTTTGATTCTACCTATATAAAATCCTTTATATATATAAATAATAGAAAATTACTAGTAATATTAAAACACACAAATACACTAATAAAATTCACAAGTCGGTGGCACCAAGAAAACGACAGTGCCACCTCTCAGAAACGTTTCCCAAAACTGATCCCCCCAGAAACGTTTCCCACAATCTGATAAACCATGTAGGCTCCATCCCCTGCAGTTTTAGACCACAAATTATTATTCACAGGGAGTTTCCGATTTCGGACCGGTGCGAAAAAGACAGGGCTCGGTGTTCATGTTTCATATTCTTTTTTTATGATTAAAAATTATTTTATATAATTATAGAACCGAAATTAAGTAATCAAAAATCCAATTTTTTTAAATTGAATATACTGATACTTATATATTTTATTTAAATATTTTAAAAAAATTATATCAATATTCTAAAATATTAAAGGATGAAAAAATTGTATTTTATAAGTAAATAAAAAATTATTTAATTTCTTATTGAATCAAATCAAATAGTAAAATAACGTATTATGATAACATAAAAAACTATTTATTTAATATTAATTCAAATAATTAAACCATAAAATTTATTGAAATAATGCTTCCCTACTCAAATCCAGATATGTAGATGACTAGGCAATTCAATAGAAATAAATGCAAGATAATTAAGGATAATAATAAAAAATGATTTTTTAAAGAATCATATCGTATATTATTGGAAATATGTTTAATCACAAAACAAAAATACGTTTTTAGATTACTTCTTAAATTTGATTATACATATATATATATATATATTCTTAATTTTACAATATTAATTATTATTTGAGTATTCGTACATGATCCGCTTTTGTTCACCAACCTCATGTGAGCTTGTACAGTCTATTCATGAAAACTCTTCTTTTTTCTTATGCAAAAATTCGACATAAACAAACTCAAACAAGGAAATCAATCCAATTAAAACCAGGAAAACTCTGTTCTCTCCCTGCATCATTTCCGAGAACCAGAGGCCCGCCATGATTGGCCTATTTGTGAAAAGGCCACACCAAAACGGCGCCGTAGGAGCCGACATAATGATCATCAGCCTTTTCTATCAAGGCCACTTGATTAGATTTCATTTTTCATTTCTTCTTTAAATTTCTACTGATTTTACCTGGGGTGTAAAGCAGACTCGTTTCGGTGAGTGTACGCCAACTGGACGTTGTCGCCGATCCGCACGGACACGGCCGAGGGATTGGTCTCCAGAAAACGATTCACCAGCGCCGACGCCGATATCTTAGGGGATGGAGTCCGGCACCCCGCCGCCACCAGTTCGTCTGGTGGTGACATTATCGAGCTACTGAAAACTCCCAACATTGTCTCTCTCTTTCTCTTCCCTAGAAAACTCTCTGCTTCAAGAAAATTTTCTAACGAAACTACAATAAAGATTGTTGCGTAATTTAACTTGATTTCTCTGGTATGAACTAGGAGATTCAGAGCTCAGACATGAGAATGGCAATGGCAGACGGGGGTTCCATTTTATAGGAAGAGAATGGAGGACATAATCGTCAGTTCAAGTTATTTTAATATTTTTTTTTTGGCGTGCTATGAATCGGACGTTAATTAATTAGCCAATCGGCGACAAGGGCCAGCATGGGTCCGTGGGGGCCACATGATGAGATTTATTTTGAACCGTTAGATTGAGAGTGTGTGCGTCATGATGAGGTCCCACACCCTCTGTCCTTATCTGGTTGATGGTTCATGATATCATATCTGTGTTGAAATGCGTTAAATCCCTGACCCTGTAGCTTTGGAGAAGCTCAAATCCAGTGCGGTAGATACCAGTTTCAAGTATGCACCGCATCAAGATTCAAAAGCAACAAGGGTTTTAATACAAATAATTTTCTGTTCTACAAAAATATATTAATTTAATATTTATGTGATTAATTTTATTTAAGCTATGTTTTGCAGAAATGGAATTTATTTTTGAAATTCTTTTGAAAAATTACATTTTGGCATTTATCGGTGAATAAGTCAACATTTACAAAATAAATAATATATTAATTTTCTGTAAAATTAACCAAAAAAACACTTAAAAAAGCCTGTATATGACTTTTTCATATGAATAACAACTTGTTTTTACTACTATAGTATTTAAAATAAATTTCTAATAAAGGATTAAATAGATCAATGATAGATAGCATTAATATGTGAGATTACATAACATAAATATGTCATATCTTATTCTTGAGTCTAATCTTTAGAAAAGAGACATTTGTTCTGCATTTATACACATAATCTTGTGAGATATTACTTTATTATTCTTTTTTAACCTTTGAACTTAATAAAAGATGTTGAAAAACTTGGGAGAATATTTTTCTAATAGAATAACTAGCAGTGACATATTATTGAGAAATAGTAGAGAAAATCTCAAATAAATTAGTAATTAAAGTAGTTATGGTACCTTCCGACTATTTTTATTTTATTTTAAATAAATATGTAAATATTATAACTAAGAAAAACAAGTAGACAAATCATTTAGTTGGACTTCTTTACTTGACCTCAAGAAACATTCGTAAGCTTAAATAAATAAGTCTTAGGAGAATATAATGCCTAATAAAGGTGACTTGTCAATTCTACAAAATTTTTCTCTTGAAGAAGGCATCTCAGAACCATAAAAGGCTTGCTCTTTAATGTAAAATGCTCAGGCCCCTAAAGGATTTCACCTCCTAAAGAGGACACTTCATATTTCTTTGAAATTCAACTACCAAAAAGGAAAGATAAGATTCCTTTAATCTTATATGAGTTATGTCATTTAGACTCAAGATTATAGGTGTAATGACTGGAAGAAAAAAAAAAAAGAGGGAAACGACACTGTTTTAAAGAGGGGAAAACGACATCATTTTGCAGAGGGGAGAAAACGACGTCGTTTTGAAAAGAAAAAAAACGACGTCGTTTTGCAAGGGAGAAAACAACGCCGTTTTGAGAAAACTGGGGTGATATAAGTAGGGGGCGGGGGAAGGAAGGAAAAAGGAAAGAAAAAGAAGAAAAAAAAAAGAGAAAGAACAGAGGAAGAAGGGGAGCAGGAAAGAGGAAGAGGAGAGGAAGGAAGGTTCCAGAAGAAGAGAGAAAGGAAGCGGAGCGAAGAGACGAGGAGACCGCGGACAGTGATAGCGCGATTGGCCGAAAGAAGGAAGATGAAAATGGGAGGTACGGTGATATATTTCAAATACGTATGTGTTGATTTGAGATTGAAAATGTGGATGCGAAATCTGGAGTTGGTGTGTGTTTGTGAGTGTTTACGGAGGTAGCGGTGTATGGAGGAGACAGTATAGGGGAGTGCGTGCATTAACGTGTGTAGAAGAGAGTTGGTCGCGTGAGAACCACAGTGGAAGAGAGAGATAGAGGTTGGCGATGC